ATTACAAGAAAGTAACGGTAATAGCACTTATTACAAAAATATTTTTTTAATAATAATAATAATAAATGAAAAAATTAATAATAATAATAATAATAAATAATGGTAATAATAATAATACCTGGAACAGTGATTTTCAATGACGGATTGGACAAATTCGATCGGATGAGGAACTTGAAACCATTGTCATCATCATCAGCATCATCATTATCATCATCATAATCATCATCGTCGTCGTAATCATCATCAGCGCCATCACCTTTTAAACTTTGCAGATGAAATTTGTCAGAAATTTTGACGACTGTAAAATTTTCGTTCGTGTTTAAATGGCCAAAAAGATTATTATTATTATTATTATTTTTATTATTGTGGTTGTTGTTGTTGTTGTTGTTCTTTATATTTTTCGTTGGATATATTGGTCGCAAATATTTTAATAACTTTTTATTAAGGCAGAAATTATAATTATTCTTATTGATATTATCATTATTATTATTGCGATTATTATTGTAATCATAATTGAAATTGCAGCCACGTTTTAAATAGTAAGAAGGATGCAAATGGACCGGAATTGATGATGATGATGAAGATGAAGATGATGATGGTGCTGATGGTGGAGATGATGATGGTGCTGATGGTGGAGATGATGATGGTGGTGATGATGATGTTGGTGGTGGTAGTGATGACGTCATGAGAACTTTGTAATCATAATCATGAGAGCCTTGAAAGTTTTAATGAAAGAATAGATTAATTTAATATCAGCGTTATTTTATTTGAATGATTGGGTGAAGGATTGAGGAAATGTAATAACGTGAATGAATGAATGAATGAATGAATGAATGAATTAATTAATTAATTAATGAACGATCGAACGAACGAACGAATGAACGAATGAACGAACGAACGAACGAATGAACGAACGAACGAACGAACGAATGAATGAATGAATGACGAATGAAAAAAATTGATGGAAAAAATAATGAAAAAAATATTAATAAACAAATTGGGGATGAATTGAAGGAAGATTTTAAAATTTATTGAAGTAAATAAAAAAATATTTAATTACAACAACAGCAGCAACAACAACCACAACAACAACAATAATAACAACAACAACAATAATAATAATAATAATAGTTATAAAAAAAAATTATTATCATATTTGACAAAATTTTTAAACGATGTTAATCATCTTAAAATGAATTTTCAATTTGTTCTCTTGAATGACAAAATTTAAAAACGAAATAAATTTCTTTCTAGCGTTTCAAATTTTATCTTTTAAAGGATAATAGCAGCAGAAACAAAGAAGTTAATTTCTATAAAGCCGAAATAATTTTCAATTTTTCACATCCTCGTAAAAACGCCAAATGTCCTTCCTTCCCCGACGATCATTTAACGGACGGTTGAGATTTTTTTTTTTTTTTTTTCTTGAGAAAATAAGAGCATGAACAATAATAATAATAACAATAAAATTGTTAACCACAACAACAAACAAAAACAAAATAATAACAATAATAACCACAACAATAAAAATAATAATAACAAAAATAATAATAATAATAATACTTGGAATACTCAAGACAACAGAGAGAAAAATTATTAATTTTGAAAATCTTCTACTCTAATGGTGCTTAGCTACATCGGTGTTACTTAGTACAGATATTTAAAATTTGTGCTAATAAAAATAATAATAATAACGATAAAAATAGCTACAATAATAATAATAACAACAACAACAACAATAATAATAATTATAATAATAATGATGATGATGATGATAATAATAATAATTTCCAACCGGATATTAAATGGGCAATTTTAAATGAGATAAATTCCTTGAGAGATTTTTTTTAAATAATTTTTGAAGGGTGGATGTAATTTTTATATTTTTAAATTTAGAATACTATCAGAGATAAGGAAAAGCGGGAGTTGAAAAAAAAGAGAGAGTGAGAGAAAGAGAATGAAAAAAAAGGGAGAATGAGAAAGAGAAAGAGGGAGAGAAAAAATGGGAGAGAAAAAGAAAGGATGAGAAAAAAAAAGTGAGAGAAAGAAAGAGTGGAAGAGAGAGTGAAAAAGAGAGAAAGAAAAAAAACGGAAAAAATGAGAAAGAGAAAGTGAGAGAGAGAGTGAAAGAATGAGAAAAAGTAATCAAAAAACAAATAAAATTAGAAAGTGAGAGAAGGAGATAAAAAAAAAAACAAAATTGAAAAAAATATTAAAAATAAAAATAGTGAAATGAAAAATGAATAAAGGAGAGAGAGAGAGAAAAAGAGAGAAAAAAGAGGAAGGAAAGAGTGAGGAAAGGAACAGAACAAAATGGAAGAGTGAATAAAAGAAAGTTGAATAAATGAAAAACAGGCTAGGAAAAACTTCAAAAGTTATTACACTACTATTATCATTATCCCAATTTATTTTATCATCATCATCATCACCACCACAACTATCATCATCATTACCACCACTACCACCACCATCATCATCATCACTACCACCACCATCATCATCATCACTACCACCACCATCATCATCATCACTACCACCACCATCATCGTCGTCATCATCAACTCACAAAATCCAGAAGAGCTGTTCTTAGCTGTTCCTAACAAAATTCTTGCAAACGGCCACTCATCATCATCATTATCATCATCTCCTTCTCCATCATCATCATCATCACCATCACCACCACCATCATCGTCATCAGCATCGTCATCATAACCAGGATGAAAATAGTTTTCTTCTTTTTTACTACCATCAATGTATTTAATGTCTTTGTTGTTGTTATTGTTATGATTATGGTGACTGTAAATATGACTATTATGATGATGATGATTATTATAATTAAGATTATTATTAATATTATTACGATTATTATTAATATTATTATTATTATTATTATTATTACGATTATTATTATTATGAATTAGTTTATTATTATTATTATTATTATTATTATTATTACTATTATTATTATTATAATCATCATTCAAGTTAGAACGATGTTGTACAGTAAAAAAGTGGGCTCGAACTTTGCCGGCGGAGAAAAACTTTTGGTGGCCCCCTGACGAGATGGTGAAGTGTCTGCGCTCTGTTTCGAAGCCGACGCTGGGAATGCTGATGTAGAACCTGTCAGTCAGTCACTCATCATGGTTTTATCATTATCATTATTACT